CCCCCCCCTTCCCCTTCTCCCTTCCTCTTTCTTTATTACCTCCGTTATTGAGGTTCTCTTGCAATTGTGACTTCCTTTTTCTCACTTTAGAAGCAGCGTAAAGTGAGATGGAATGACCTTGATCTATATTTTATCAGATGAATAAGCAGAAGTTACTGGGATCCTTTATTATTATTATTTTACCTATAGACGTATTTTGTGTTGAACAAGCTTTTCAAATGAGATCGTTTCTTTTCTACGCATGACATTACCGAAGAAGTTCTTTCATAGGTATACTTTACAAGGATTTATAAGGGCCTAAATAACATTTTCAGACCAAGTTTGTAGATGTAACAGACCTCTCCTCTGCTTATTTTTTATCTGAATATGATTACACGTGCTGATAATGGAATAGATAAAACGAAAAAAAGAGTATTGTAGTCGATAATATCGTTATTATTCCAAATATTCGTTACATGTAAGATTTGTGTATTCTCATGATTTTCCAGAACCTTATCACACAGGATATTTAAAAAAAGAGTTGAAGGGAAGATACAATGTCAGACTGTGTAAATCTAAAACAAACAAATCCACCCAAATGACATATCAAGCTGTTTTTACACTATTTATGATAACATCGAAACTATGTATGCTTAATAGACCAATATAGGATACTGTTTGATCAGTAGTTTTCCTTGTTTTAGTCATTAGTTAACATAGGCCCTAGAAGCGTAAGTTTTATATAAAAACGTTTGTTTTACAGACGAAATAAGACTACCTCACAGACACACATACACACAGATTTTTATATTTGTATTTCTATATCTATATATATAGCGAGTGGTTAGATTCGTTTAGCTTTAGAATATGTTTAAATATAGCTTAACTCTCGATGGGGACTTGGTTTCGACGCTTTACAATTTCCAGCGAAGTACGTCTTCATCGTCCGTTGTCATAACCATTGAAAATGAAGACCTCAAAAATCTGTGTGATCCAATTCCATCGACCGGTATATTATCCTATAATTTACGCTTGTTACGTTTAGCACTCCAGTGGCATAACGTCAAAGCAGCCTATGTTGTAATGCGTTTGCCAGTGGGCACTTTATGTTTGATTATTTTTATAGACGAGAATTTATGCTCAAGGGAATCCATGAAATACCTTTTTGGTCATTCTAATCTCTGTAGTAGTTTGGGCTCTCAAAAGTTCTGTACGATTCGAGTTCACAACATTAATGAGATCCAATCCAACCTTTTCGAAAACATCTCAAAGGAAAAAAATTGTGACGATCTGATGACAGAATCGGAGCGCTTGCATAAGGAGATTTCTATGATGGAAGTAGTACCGAATGTGACCCCGTTGCCATTTACTTTAATACCTCTTTCGGAGGAAGCACGGGATATAATTCAAAAATACGCCGTCGGCCTTGTTGATACCGTAACTTTTATGATATTAAACAATCAAATTACGGTAGATTGTGTTTTGGATGATCCCGTGGGGGATTTATTGGCACTCAAAAGGATTCTTCCAGATAGCCATCATCGCTATGTATTTACCCACTACAACCCCGATGACTCAAAGGAGCGCAAAGATATAATGATTTATTTGTGTCCTTTATCACATGATGTGAAGGAGCGATTCATGTATGCATCTGCAAAAACTTCTTTTATTTCCTTTGCGAAAGAACACGGTATTACATTTCACATTCAGAAGGAAGGAGCAAATTTTGAAGAACTCGTTTCGATGGTTAAGGAATTTTTTTCAGATAATGCAGATGCACTGAAACAGGTTAGCGCTGCCTGAAAAATACTAAGTTTGGTTTGCTGCGTGTTTTATTATGTATTTCAGTAAATTATTAAAGTAAGAACAGACGTTTTTCTTATATATCCTAAATTTTAATTCAGGATTGTATGATAAGATATATATATATATATACATAATATATATTTATATAAAGAACTCACG